AATGAATGTACAAGAGGTATGAAGGAAAGTAGCTGGGCAACTGTCCTGGTTTTGCATAGCTGAAAAGACATGCTGTCTATCTAATTCTCCAATTTACTAGCAGCGGGGAGACTTCTCTGCTGTGGTTCAGCTTACGCAGATCCATTTGCTGGCATTACGAAGCCTGCTGATGCATAGTTTATACAGTCAACACCAGTCAACACCACTTGTTTCATTTGAAATAAAATAGCACTGTTCGTCAGCCAGGAAGAGTAAAGCCTGAATCACATATTTACAGGAACCTTTTCTGTGGCTCTTTAAAGTTTAAAAAAAAAAGTGAAGAGGCTGGAGAGGGTCCAGAGAAGAGCTGCGAAGATGATCAGAGGACTGGGAAGCCTGCCATATGACGAAAGGCTGAGAGAGCTAGGCTTTTTCAGCCTCGAGAAAAGGCAACTGAGGGGTGACCTTATCACCAAGTCCCAGCATTTAAAGGACAGCTACAAAGAAGGTTGTAAATCCAGCCAGGCTGCAGTTGTGCTCACTTCTTCCCACCTTCATGGTTTCTCCTTTCCTTTGTGTAACATGGAATGGAAGACCCTTCCCAGCTCTCACAAGCTGCCTAGGGCTGACATCCCTTTGCTGTTCATTGTTTCCATCTGCAGAAGCTCCTAGCACTGCAACAGCTGAAGGCTCACTGAAATCTTGTCGTGGAGTGCAGGGAGCAAGATACATCCTGCCTTGTATCAGGATGATGGGAGATGGGATCTTCTGCCTTCCCCCTTGCTCTGTGCCAGGGATAATACCTGCCTGGCACAAAAGTGACTGATGCTGAAAGAAGTAGCACCCTTTGGCAGCTACCTCCGGCATGAAACATGCAGTGCTGCTGTTTCACGAGCGCAGTGATGGGGTTTGTCCCCTAACAGTGTCACTGAGGTTCCCTATTGCTCTGCGGCACAGTGGTACACCACCTTGCACTGTAAAGTCACCACATGACTCTAGTCACCAGTGACCCAGCTAACAGCTGGAAATTACATGTACCTAGAGATTTGGCATGTTTGTTGGTAAGTGTTTCCTGGCTTAGTTCAAAAAATAAGAAAAGGCAATCTTCTGGCACTGTTTATGCTGACGCATTAAATAAAACCATTTTTTTCCCAGTAATACAAGTAACTAAATTACTATTGCCACATATTTATTTACTGTTCTTTATACTCTTTGAACCACTAAATTTTTCCAGAAGAAAAAGGTTTTAACAGAGAAGGTAATCTAAGCACCGAGAGAAATAATTATGTTCTTCTGTGCTACTCTTAAGCTAAGCAGGTTCTAATTGTGTTTGGTTCTTTTAAATTTGTAATGTATGGAGAGTATTGATTCCTTCTTTTTGTAGGCATATATTTGTATGTGGGTATTGTTATACTTACCCAGTAGAAGTTTAGTTGTTAACAAGCTAAATCGTGGAAGTTTAATACATTTACAATTTAATTCAGTTAATATGCGCACAGAGTCCCTTGTGCTTTGATCCCTACTGTTATCATCCATTTCTAATAGCAGGGCAGTTGACTGAGCTATTGGTGAATGATAGGCACAGTGGGACTGTATGAGGATTTATATATATAAAAATCCCTATTCTAGTTGCTGGCTCAGTTCTTAACAGGGTTGTTATACACCTCAGAAACTGAGTTTTTGAACCAATGGAGGCCTGTTAATGCTTGAGCCTCAGAAAAGAGTTGAGGCAATGGAGGCCTGTTAATGCTTGAGCCTCAGAAAAGAGTTGAGGAAGCACAACTACCAGAATGGAAATCAAGAGAGTAAAGTATCAAAACCTTTTCTAGTGCGTATTTTAGAGGAAGGTGTGAGTATTCAGGGATGTGAAGGAGAAATGCTGAAAGAAAGGAGACATATCCATTGTAATACCTATTTAAAAATATCTATCGTTCACATAATATAACTATGGAACTATAACCGAAGTACACTATCCTCTGTAATAATGCTTTAGACATTGCTCCAAGGTACTGAGGAAAACATGGAAAATTATTGGATGGACTAGAGATCAGTGTTCTGGCCTTTCTCCTGAAAATGGAGGGCTCCCTGTGAGCAACCACACATCCACACCCAGGCATCTCACTTCTGAGAGGGCTTCAGACCCAAACTGAGGGAGGAAGCCAGATGAGCTTTTCTAGAGCTTCTTCCAATGACACCTCAGAGAAAACTTGCTGTATGAGCAGAAGATAAACTAACATGTATGAATTCCAGCTTTGTGTTATGGATTCTGAGGAGTATCCTATATGGCTGTGTGATGACTCGATAGCTCTTTTCAGAGGGAGGCAGTGCCTCTGGAAATGCTACAGTGACCATTAAAGGCTGTTGGTTACTGAAAGGGCTGAGAGGCTTTGACAAAAGTGTTTTTCTTCAAGTTCCAGAGAACTGGCACTGAATTCACAAAGATGAGAGCTCCCTTCTTCTTCCCCTGAGGAAGACAAATCATGTGCTTGACCCTTCTCCTCCTTGCAAACTATACACAGAAAAATAATTGGATTGACAATGTGGTATTCCTTCTTTCGTGTGCTGATAGGATAATGGGAAACCCTCAGAAGCATTCTGATAACATTCAGTAAAGCTAATTTAATAGTCATTGAATTCTTGAAAGTTCTCATTAGGATGCTAAACGCAAGCATCTGTGTAATATGGGCATGATCAGCTGTACAGTGGAGCATGGGGAACTGATACTGAAGCTGCCTGTTCTTCATACAAGCAAGACTGTATTTATTTCATTTCTTAGTGATTTAATGCAAATATATTTGAAAGGGTTGGACTGGGGGAAAGAAGAGGGAAAGAAAAAATATTCTTATTGGGTTTTTTTCCCAGAAATCTAACAGTGTATTTGCAGCTGTATATATTCTCAGTCATACACTAGGCCTGATCAAAAGGTATTGTACTCCCTCTAGCTTAAATTCAGCTGCTTTATGTTGTGCTGCTGGTATTGTTCCAGTTCATCATATGCTTAGATGACTCATAGTGCATGCATTGTGGTAGTTAACATAATATGTTTTCCTCTTTTTAAATTAGTCTGCAGTGTATGATGTGAAGTACAATTCACAATTAGCATTTCAGCACTATTAAATCCAGCTTGAAGTGTTTTGATGGAAACAGCAATCTGTTTTATTCTTCAGATTTCCCTAAACAAAGCAAGTGCATCAATAGCTAATGGTGTATATTATATGGTATTAACTGGTGTCTTTCAAACACAATAATATTTAAGAATTACTCTTTCATAAGCCACTAGCAGTCAGAGAATCCAGTCTCACCTCTTCCAACAGTATTGAATTATAGTGCATTTGATTTGCTTTTGGTTTATCCCCATCACTTATGTCTGGATATGCTTTGTCATAACCTACAACAATCAGGCAACAGAAAGCTGAGTGGACTGACTGATATGGTGCAGCACTGTTTTTGCGAATGAGATAGTCAGAGTGGTTGTCATGTCCATTTTGATTGTGAAACCATTCCTTGTTTGGCATTCGAAGTGATGATCTCTGACAAGGCCTTAGGGCAGAAGAAACACCAGCTGCAAATGCTGAAGAGAAAGTTGATGGCATATGTACACATTTTAAATGGACGCAAACTGTGTTGAAAAAATAAGGCATGGCTCTGAAAAATGCTACAAGTAGAAGGAATGGAGGAGGCACATGGGATAGAAAAACAAAAGAAAAAATGATGTAGAGGAAGGGTCAGGTGAAACAGTGAGGAAGAGGAAAGAGCTATAATCTGACTGACCATTCCTCAACAGCCATATGAAAGTCAGATGGGAGGGATACTGAGGAGTCATCACATGAGGGACAGAGGTTAGCAGGACGTTGCTTTCCCTCATTAGCACCACCATGTGTAGTGACGTTAATGTGACAATGTGTCTGAACCGTAGTGCTGGCAGGGCTGACAGATGATCACACATCTAAGATGGAGATAAACAGTATGCCTGATGACTTGTGAAAATTTTGGACTCACCAAGCTTATGTGAATCTTCTAGAAGAACTTGCAAAGTGTTGAATCCAAGTATATACTTTTGTCATCTGCTGAACAAAAATATGGGGCATAACAAGCAGACTGCAAGCTATTCATTTGAGCTGTGTCTGCTGCCTGGACTGGGGGTTCTTTGCTCCAAACCAAGCTCTCTCTACCTATGATATTTCTTATGGTTTCAATCAAACAGTTCAGTCAAACAATGCTTAAAACTGTGCTGATGGAGTTTCTGTCACTCTCCGGAAACTGTCCTACTAGCTTAACCAATGCTGAAAACTTCTCACAGCCCTTTGCAGCAATCTAAACCCTTAGTATTTCATCTGATTCATAGAGAACATGTTTACTTTTGTACCTTGCAAGCATTCTTCTCCAGATGAAACAGTTTTACTCCTTTCAATTTTCATTCATAGATCAATTATCTGATTTTATTCAGCATTATACTCTGAGTTCTTTTTTGCAAGTCTACATCTTCGTTGAAAGGTGATACCCAAGACCTGACATATCAGTCCTGCTGAGGATCCATGGCTGGTGAAAAAAGTGGGAAAGAGGATTATTTCATACTTTTCCAGATTATATTCCTGTTTGCATATCCCAGTTTAATGAACATTAATTCCCACAGCAGTAGGCCATTGCTGAGCCATTTTTTGTTTGCATCCCCTGCATCTTTTCCAGCATGGCTGCTGCCATGCCTGATTGTTTCCCATGTTGTATTTGCGTACACTAATCTAGAGCTAGAATTTACAGTTATTGAACTGCATTTTTCCAGACCATTTCTCCAGTTTGTCAAGAACATCTTGCATTTTAATGTCTGCCAGTGTTTGCAGTCCTACACATCCTGCTGTCATCTGTCAAAGCATAAGCTTAGTTACAACACTTGGATTACCAAGAAAGTGTTGAATATGCAGGGCCCCAGTAGTATTGACTAATCAGGAAACTTACTCAGAATCTAATTCACTTGCTCTGATACATCTCCGAAACAGACAAGCAGTGAATAGGCCAAACCAAAGTGGAGAAAGAGAAGATTCACTTTTCATCCTAGCTGAACCAATAATGTAATTGCATGCAAACAACATTGTAAGAAAGGGAAGGAGAAAAGAAGAAAGTTGAAATTATTGTCTAAGTGGCAGGATGTAGTTTAGCTTTCCAGTAGTTTTAGCAGCGAAAAGATCTTGTGACTCCATCCTGTCTTTTCTTAATTTGCTTTTAATTTTGTCCTTGTAATTCCTTTTGACCATAATGTTCCATGTTTCTTATCAAGCACTTCAGTCAGAAGGAATTGGCAGAGTTGCGGATTCTATAACAAAATCTGTTTCCTAGCACTAACTTTAAACTAAGCCCTGAATAGGGTCTTCAGATCTTCAAGTCATGGAATCATAGGTTTGGGTTGGAAGGGACCTTAAAGATCATCTAGTTCCAGCTGCCCTGCCAAGGACAGGGATAACTTCAGGACTAGATCAGGTTGCCCAAAGTCCCACCAACCTGGCCTTGAACACTGCTAGGGATGGGGCAGCCACAGTTTCACTGAGCACCCTATGCCAGCGCCTCATCACCCTCACAATAAATAATTTCTTCCTAATATATAATCTAAACCTACCCTCTTTTTGTTTCAAGCCATTCCCCGTTGTCCTATCCCTACATGCCCTTGTAAAAAGTCCTGCTCCACCTTGCATATAGGTCCCCTTTAGCCACTGGAAGCTGCTGCAAGGTCTATCCCGAGCCTTCTCCAGGCTGAACAAGGCCAACTCTCTCAGCCTGTCTCCGCAGGGGAGGCGCTCCAGCCTTCTGATCATTTTTGTGGCCCTCCTCTGCCCTCACTGCAACAGGTCCGCATCCCTCTTGTGTTGGTGGCACCAGAGCTGAATGAAGTGCTCCTGTGGGGGTTTCACAAGAGTGGAGGAGAGGAGGAGAATCACCTCCCTCAATCTTCTGGTCACACTCCTTTTGATGATGCCCAGGACATGGTTGGCTTTCTGGGCTGTGAGGGCACATTGTCGGGTCATGGTTGAGTTGTTTTGTCAACCAACACCCCCAAGTCCCTTTCCTCAGGGCTGCTTTCCATGTAGTCTCTTCCCAGCCTGTATCTGTGTTTAGGATTGCCCCAAACCATGTGCAGGACCTTGCACTTGACCTTGTTGAACTTCATGAGGTTCTCAGTGGCCCACGTCTCAGTCATGTCAAGGTTCCTCTGGATGGCATCCTTTCCCTTTAGTGTGTTGACAGCACCACACAGCTTGGCAAACTTGCTGAGGGTGCACTCAATCCCACTGTCTATGTAACGAACAAAGATATTAAATAGCACCACTCCCAGTACTGACCCCTGATGAACACCACTCATCACTGTTCTCCACTTGGATATTGAGCTGCTAACCACAGCTCTTAGTGCAACCATCCAGCCAATTCTGTATCCACCGAGTGGTCTGTGATCACGAGTGTCTTTGCATATTAGCAACTTGCATTTCTGCAAAGTACATTTTTTTACGTCCTGCAACCAGGTAAATGCAATAAGAGGGCTCATTTCATCCATATATGAGATTTACTTGGAGGCAGAATCCAGTCAAAAGACAACATGAGACATGAATTGCCACAATTAGTATGACAATTAAAACCCTACGATGACTCACACATAAAGTATCAAAAGCAGCTACCACAGCCTTGAAGCAGAGGAAAGATCACATTGCTCAGAAAGCAGTTAATAAATTAAAATTGATGGCATTGCCTGGAAGAGCTTGGTGGTATACTAAGTGGTATATGAATAAAGAATGAATGTTCTTTATCTGCATTGTGTGCAATGTCTTTTGCACACAATGCACACAATTTATCTGCAATCTGTGCAACAGATCAAACTATGCTGCAGTTCAGAATGTCTTTGAGGTATATAGGCTCCCTAACTCTTCCCCTACTTGATTTTGCTTCAGATCCAACCCCTTCAGAGGATTCTTATAGTTTGTTTAATGTACTATGGATGCTTTTCTGTTAAGGGATAAAACCTGTGCCTAGCTCCCTGTGAAATGAGGAACCTTCAAGGATCTAAAGAAAGAATTTGCCCTTTGTGTTCCATGATTGTACAGTCTGATACAATGACAGGCATATAAAATTTCTTAGTTTAAAAAATAATTGTTTGTTATTAGTAATAAATAATATCAATTTACTAATTAGGATGAGGAAGTTCTATGTCTTAAAAAATAGAAATATGTCAACAAATTTAAAAGCAACCAACCAGCAAACTTGTGATACTGTTCTAGTCATCTTGTCCTTCCACCCTTATTATTCATCTGGTAATGTTCCTTGAAGCTTTTCTTTTTTGTCCCTCTCCTGCAGAGTCAGTCTTTTGGGCAGGAACTCTCTAAAGTACTCTGAGCCTTCAAAAAATGAGGTGCTTTAGTCCATGCTAATGATTTGGCCTCCATCTCAGTGCAGAGAGTCTCACCTCTGCAGGGCAATGAAAAGGCATATTAGATTAATGAATTGCTGCCTGGAGGTGCCTGTGGCTTCCCCATCCCCTTCTCCAGGTTAGGAGAGACTGAATCTGTCCTTGCTGCATGCCTCTGATCACCTCACCCTGCAAGTTGTTCACCTTTCTCTGTTCAGTATTTCTCAGCATTCATGCTTAGCTGATTCTAAGATCCAGAGCTTGAGATCCAAAGGCTTTTCACTTTTAAAGGCTGTCAAATGATTGCATTATCCTCATGCTGAAAAACAGGGGTGGGAAACCCCAGAGAGATTATACACCTCAGACTGCAAAATGATATATGCATATCTGATGATTATATGTGTATATAGTAACAGCATAGTAAACATTATATACAAAGTAAAAATAGAAAGGCTAAAGTATAAAATGGATTCCCTGAGCTCTGAGCTTGCATTTCATTTGGGGCATTAATTTTCTAGAATTATCTGAGCTGATACTTACACTGTCATTTGCAAAATGGCTTTGCTATTACAGTAATTTCAGTGAAGAGAGACATTAGTCTGTCTCATAATCTGCATGGTCTCTGTGTGTGAGCATTACAGAGCACATAGGTGAATATGAGAGCTATTAAATATTCATTCTGATATAAATCAAATAAAAATTAAAATCTGAAGTGAGTGTTTCTTTGCCTGAGCACTCCAGGTCTCAGGGGCTGAGTGCCTCTTCTTGTGTTGTCTTGTGCTGGAACCTGGTGTAGGAAAACTCTCTCGCAGCTTAACATTCTTTCGCCTACTGACCTGTAGGCATCAAACATGCTTTATATCTGTCCTCCAAAGCAGCAAGATTGTCAGGGTTTGTCCCACAGCTGGTAAAGAAAAATTTGCTCATAGCAAATCTTTTGGAGCTAACCCCTTTTTCTTCTCAGCTGCTTCAGAAACCCCAAGTCCATTCTCCTTGGCTTCCACATCTGTGATCTCCTTTATCATGATATTAAATAGCATATTGTCTGACCTCTGTTACTGCTCTAAGCAATGTTTTATGGCAGTCTGTGGTATGGCCATTTCCTTTGTTTCACTGGATTGCAATTTTTAATATTGGGTGGGTAAGTGCACATAATACAGTGCATAATAAATCATCTAATTTTGAGATTTATCAGCTTCATCACTCATTTGTTTTACTTATTCTTAGTGTTTGGACTAATTCTGCATGGATGAATAAAGGTTAAGTGGATAGTCTTTCTTTTTCAAGCCATTGCTTTCTTTAATCTCTTGCTGAAAGTGATATTTTTTCTCTTGTTTTGCTGTTGATACAAAACTGAGCATAACCAGGGACTCTGCAGATTTTTAGTTCCCCAAACTGCTTTCTGTATAAAGACCAATCTGCAAGACATTCAGTATCTTGACTGTTTTTTCTTCCTGTTTTGTCTGTTTCATAATGGTCACACCTGAAGTCTTGGTGCACACTCTTGACTTTTCCTTCCCGTAATGTACTGCTGCAATAGCCTCTGACTAAAAGCATCTCTTTTGTTCACCTTATGGCATATTTGTGTGACTCTTCCTTCATTGCTTCCACTTCTTGATGACTTCTTGAGTGCACTCATTGCCTTCCTCTATCTGTTACCCTTGACATTTACTGCTCTTCATTTTGTAATATTATCTGCTTATTGGGTTTTCACATTAATCACAGTAATCACAGAATGGTCGAGGCTGGAAGGGACCACCAGAGGTCGTCTAGTCCAGCCTCCCTGCTCAAGCAGGGTCACCTAGAGCACATTGGTCAGGGCTGTGCTCAGATGGTTCTTGAATATCTCCAGGGAAGGAGATTCCACAAACCCCCTGGGAAACCTATTCCAGTGCTTGGTCACCCTCACACTTAAGAAGTTCTTCTTCATGTTCAGAAGGAGCTTTCTGTGGTTCAGTTTACGCCCATTGCCTCTCATTCTGTTGCCTGGCACCACCAGATATGCCAGGTTAATTTACATGCAGATAAGAGGGCTGTCATAATAAATACATGTCTAAATTTTAATGTAGAATTATATAGTGTAGTATTTATTATAACTTAATATACTAATAAATGAATATATGCATACATTTAAAAATTAATTATAAATTAATTACATACTTGCTCCAAGATAATTAATTACAAAGAGATTTAACTTGGGTTGCTCTTCCAATCTCTTCTTTCTCAAGATACTGCCAATGATTCTGATTACTGAGGAACTGTGACAAAAGTAAAACAAATCACTACAATTATTGCTAAAAACATATTCAGAAAAGCAGATAGAATATAGTAATTTCTTTTAGACTAACTTACTTTCACTGCAGGGTATTAACATAGCCTAAAGTTGATGCTTTACTTTCCCTGTCTCCCTGTGCAGTTAAAGACTAGAGATAGGCTCCTGTAGAGCTTTATTCAGAGCTTCACCTGGAGTCATCTTTTCCAAAGCCATTGAGGGAACCCAACTACTACACAAATAGCTCTTGCGTCTGGAGTTTACTACTGGATGGTATATATACTATGATTTTGCCTCTTGTACTAATTATCATTCATCTGGGTGCTGAAGAAGCTGACAGAGCTGTATTCTTCTTGCTCTTCTTTTTTCTGCATCTTAAATGTATTTGGCCTTCTTTCACCATCCTCCTAATTTCTCAAAGATACCTGCTAACAAGGCTTTCAGACATCAGCATCCCACTTAAAAATCCAGCAATAACATCCATAGAGGTCACATGATTAAAAATTATCTTGCTTACGCAGGTGACCTCCCATAAGCTCCTTTTTAAACCTGACCCCTTAGCCTTACATTGCTAAGTAACATTATGATCTAGCCAAGGACTACTTCTGTCTGCATGTAAGCCCTGTCGTAGGAGTTAGCAAAGCAATCTATGGCATTTCTGGTGGGGAAGAATGTCAGCACTAGCCAGCACCTGCTTTTAGGACAGAGAAAGAACAAAATGAATGGCAGAGGGAAGTGTGTTTCAAAAGAGAGGGAAGACTTTGCTGAACCTCAAGCAGGAGACACTGCTTAAAAACAAGGGGAAAGGAAGACTACGAGAAAATGCTGTTAGGGATGAAAGAAAGCTGGCATGAATTAAGAGGAAGGTAAGCAAGCAGGATAAAGGGAACCCCGTGAAGAAGCAGCTCTGCTGAGGGGCCATGCCAAAAGCCAAAATCAGTGCAGCTTTAGCAATGGCACTTTGGTAACAGGGGAGAGAAATACAACCAGACATTAGCCAGGAGAGTGTCCAGAGGCACATAAAACTTTCACTGGATAAGTGTACTGTGAGTAAAAATATAAAGAAGAAAATTTGCACTAATAGCTCACACATTCTCTCAGAAAAACTGAACTTTTCTCAGATCAGCACTGCCAGCTTAGCTAAGCTACTTACAGCACTTGCATGTAGTGCCTGAACCTGTCAATAAGAGACATTATTAATTTTGTGTGCAGAGGTCATGTAAAAAGTAACATAGTTTCTCCATAATGTAGTTCCCCATCTGTAAAGCTACTGCCTCTGCTTCATTAAAGGCAAAGAAGCAATAAATTGACAAGTACAAAGCAGATGATTTAACGGCAAAATCATGCTCAGTTCTGGATCAGAAAAAATGCACGTAAAACAGGGAAGCAGTTAACCACTGTCTTTTATGATAAACATGTAAGTATCTTCCAAAACAAATTTGAAAAGGGAACAGGACAATCCAAAATATCAGTAAGAAATTAACAACACTCTGCTTTATCCAGTCACAGGCTCTGCTCCCCTATTTACCTCATAACTAGTAAGACTTTTTCCCCTTCTTTACTCTTGCTAATTGTCGGGGTTTAAAGGACACTGAAGAGCACAGGATGAGTTCATTAGAATTGCAAAGTATCACTGCTTACCATTTGCAGCAGGGTACCATTCATCTCTGTTGCCACACCATACTGTGAGGTGGCACCAAAAAACAGACACTGCAATCAAGGGCTAGGGAATACTAATCATCCTGCATCAGACTGAAACCCATGCAGGATTCAAGGTCCACTGTGGTTAAGAACATCTGTTCATGGCCATAAATGAGTCCCAAAAGTGAACTGGGGTGGGCTTTGTGATTTTGACATGGCCAGCTTCTTTCTGTTGGCTTACAAGACCTGGGTCAAATTCCTGGCCATTTCTTTTGACCCCTTGTGTCTACATAACCACCTTTTCTGTTCCCTTCTTTCAATGAAGGACACAGCAACCTCTCTTCAGACTATTTGAATACCAGGATGCCACCCACAGTAAGTCATGAACATGACCATCGCTTTCTTTGCTTTGCCGCTGATTGGTGAAATAACAATATAAATTACAACTACAGTGCTGACCTCAGCATAGCAGTCCATGCATACCATTGCATAGCTTAGCTAAAGGAAGCTGTCGAGCCAGTTGCACAGATTCACCATAAAATCATGTCCAGACTGCCACTTGAGTTTTTGCCACCTCAGAAATGTCTGCCTTTCCCTGAAGTTTACTTAAAAAATGTTTATAGTTTACTGTCTTCCACATTAACACCACACATTCCTTTCCATCCAGTAGCAGAAAGGAAGCAGAACTGGAAAAGGTACTCTGTCAGCGCTACACTATGGTGCTAAAACATGACTGGAGAAGTAACTATGAGGCTGCCGGATCAGAAAGTGAGTATTAAATTACTTTGCATTTCCTATAAGTCTGTAGTCCTCCAGTCAATAGCATGCCTGCAGTTAATTGCGACAAAAGTAAGATGTATTTTAGGAAGCAGCCATAAAGAGGTAGGCAGGATTATCTAATGACATATACGTATTTTACCAAACATGTTACTTGTTGAGCTAATTAGTTACCTTGTAAATGGAAAGGTCAACCCTGCATCATATTTGCATCTCATCTTTCTGAGTCAAATTTCCTGGGTGGTAGGTGGAAAGAAATAAATTCTGCTGAAGTTGTGAAGAGCAGACAGGAACACTTTGGCAGGCAGAGAAAAATGAGAAAAAAAGCTGTTTAGGGCTGATCTGAATCTGAGAACATGCAACACGTCCGTCAGGAAGATACCTACCCCGTGTCCACCAGCTCCACATACACAATTTCTTTTGAATGGCTCTGCAGCCATGCAATACGTTGAACCTGTCAGTCACATTTTTGAATGCTCCTGCTACCCTTTACTAATCCACATATGCAAGCACACACCCAAGGCTCATGAAACTGCTCCACTGCACCAAGGTCATAGTTTTGACCCCAAATTGCCATTCTCTAGAGAAGATTTTCCTGACATCCTACACTACTGTGTGCACACTCCAGC